TCAGCTGCTGGCTTTCTTTCTTTAGGGCTGCCACATTTACTTATTCAGATTGTATACTGCACAGCTCTAGGGGGCATCATTCACATTATAATCTATGTGAATAGCTCCCTTTGGCCCAATTTGCATTGATATTCCAGAAATTTCTGTCTGAAAATTTACTCTTTCATACCATAAACCAAACCCAAACCAAACTCACTGCCATCAAGTCATATCTCACTCATAGCAACCCCTCCTTGGGTTTCTGAGGCAGTATCACTACGGAAGTAGATTGCCCAACCTTCCTTCATACCATGTTGTTGTTATGTGCCATCGAGTCGGACTTGATTTGTAGCGGCTTCTCCTTGGGTTTCCAAGGCGATGTCCCTAAAGAAGTAGATTGCCCAACCTTCCTTCCAAGGAGTGGCTGGTGGGTTTGAACCGCTAGCCTTCTTGTTTAGCAGTCAATTGCCTTAGGCACTAAACTAACCATGTTGTTGTTGTTGTTATGTGCCGTCGAGTCGGCCCCAACTCATAGCAACCCCTCCTTGGGTTTCCGAGGCAGTATCACTACGGAAGTAGGACTGCCCAACCTTTCTTCCGAGAAACTGTGTTGTTATTGAGTCAGACCCAACTCATAGCGAGGCCTCCTTGTGTTGTTGTTGTGGTTGAGTCAGACCTGACTCATAGCAACCCTTCCTTGGGTTTCCAAGGTGATATCATTATGGAAGTAGATTGCCTAACGTTCCTTCCAAGGAGTGGCTGGTGGGTTTGAACCACCAGCTGTCTGGTTAGCAGTCAAGTGCCTTAGGCACTACGCTACCAGAGCTCCATAGTAGGTACTTAAAACCAGTGGATGGATCTGCAACCTATACAACTATGAGACCAGAAGAACTAGATAGTGCCCAGCTACCACTGCCATCCACTTGGAAGGGGATATATGTAGGAGATCCTGGATAGAGAGGGAGAACAATGTGGAACAAAACTCAAAATCATTTGGAGGGGAAAAAAAAAAAAACGATGGTTGGGACCAGGTTTGCTGGTCCAATAGAGCCTGGTGGAACCACTGAGACTATGGCCCCTAGCTGCCCTTCAGGTCTGGAATTGAACCCACACCTGTGGTTTCCAGCCAAACAAGGTATAGGCATATGAATTAAACATTTACCCCAAGTAGACACATGCCCGGGAGAGAATAATCATTGGAGAAGGAAGGGCTGCTTATGCACAGGGAGACAGCTCAGGGGGCAGAAGAGTATGGAGGGATGGACACTGGGAAGAGGTAACTATGGGGAGGAAGTGGGAGGGGAACTGTTGCATTGTGGTAAACTGTGATCAATGACATGAGACAAAGTATATGTGAACTGCTGTATAGAAAGTGAATTTGCTCTGTAAATTTTCACCCAAATCACAATTAAAAAAAAAAAAAAAAAAACAGTGGATGGACTCTGCTAATTCTCTCCTCCAGCTCAAACTGATATATTCCATATTTCTAGCCTAGAACTCTCCTTTCAATCCCAGACCCATTTAAGCAGATGATTACTACATACCTTCTTTCTAAATTTCATGTAGGACTCACCATGTCAAAATTGAATTCAGAATTGTCTTACCTCATCTCCCATCCCCCAGTCTGAACTGTATCCATTCCTCATATTTCCTATTTCAGGTACCATCTCAGAACCATCTTAAATTTTTTCTTCAGCCTCACTCTCATGTAATTAGTCAGTAATTCTTGTACATTCTGCCTTAAAATCTATAAATGTTTTGATCTTGTACCCCTTTACATAAAAATTTTAAAGACCCAGAGAACTTCTATTTGTATGAGATATATCTATTGGTATTTATCATATTAGAAATTAAAGCTAAGAAAATTTTAAAATAGCAGTATTAAACCACTGTCAGTTAACATAAATAATGTTTTTTGTGTGAAAAGTAATTATTCTCCAAAACAAACAAACAAAAAAATTAGAAGAGTAACATTTTTACATTTTTGCAAATTTCTGTACTATCTGGCTGAATAGAAGACTGAATTTTCTTACCTGCTTCTGCATTCCCTCAGTTGTGATACATTGTTTGAATTGAAGTCCATGAAGAAAATTCAGCTTCACACCTATATGTCATTGGAAAGGGAAGGAGTATTTTCAGATAGTTGAAACTACATCAGGACTCTAAACCAAAAAAAACCAAACTCACTGCTGTCAAATTGTTTACAACTCATAGTGACCCCTCCTTGGATTTCTGAGATAGTATCTCTACAGAAGTAGATTGCCCAATTCAGAATTCTAGCAATAATTAAGTCATAAGGATATTTGTAATATGAGACCTGAAACATCATCAATTTTTTTATGCTATTACATTAAGATTTATAAAGATTTTGTAACTTCATGCATTAGGTCATTTAGAAAATATTGGCTCACTGAATTATGCAGATCTCCAAAATGTTGGCAAATTTATTATAAAATATTGAAGAAGAACAACAACCAAAAAAAAAAATCCCTGGATGGTACAGTTAACTCAGTTGACAGCTAACTGAAATGTGTCAGAGTTAACTCATATACAGCCTATTATCAGCAAAAAATAACCTCTGCTAAAGAGGAAGTAAAAAATTTATCAATATTTCATATTATGTAACACTTCAAAAGTTAAATAAAGCTTTTCTTATTTATAAGGAAGTTTATTATGCACCATTTATTCTGCATAATGCATTGCAAATACACCTACTTTTCAATATGGACTATCTTGTTATGCAACACTTCACGTTTACACCAATAGTAAAACAAATATACTATCCTACTGTTTTGTGTAGGAGCTCTGGTAGCATAGTGCCTAAGGCACTTGACTGCTAACCAGAAGGCTGGCGGTTCAAACACACCAGCCACTCCTCGGAAGGAAGGTTGGGCAATCTACTTCCGTAGTAGTGATACTGCCTCAGAAACCCAAGGAGGGGTCGCTATGAGTTGGGTCCGACTTGATGGCACATAACAACAACAACATTGTTTTGTGCATTAATGACATGTCTAACAGTAAGGAACACAGGGGGTGTTGACAAGAGTAATGATGGCTGTGATAGTTAAAGTTATGTGTCAGCTTGGCTAGGCCATGATTCTCAGTGGTTTGGCAGTTGTGTAGTGATGTAATTTGGCAGCTATGTGATGATGTAGTCCTCCATTTTGTGATCTGATGTGGTCATCTTCCATTTTTGAATAACATGTATTTCCCATAATACCTGGTCTTTGGAACTTAACCATGTCAATAAGTGAGGAGTGGGTGTATGTCTTAGTTACCTAGTGCTGCTATAACATAAATACCACAAGTAAATGGCTTTAACAAACATATTTATTCTTTCACAGTTTATGAGGCTAGAAATCTGAATTCACAATACCAGCTCTAGGGGAAGGCTTTCTCTCTGTGTTAGCGCTGGAGGAGAGTCCTTATCTCCTTTCAACTTTTGTGGCCAACAGCGTTCCTTGGAGATCTCCATGTATCTTGGTATCAGTCTTCCCCTGGGTCTAGGAGGTTCACAGTGCAGGGACCCTGGGTTTAAAGGATGTACTCTGCTTCTGGCTTTTCTTTCTTGGTGATACTGAAGTCCCTCTGACCACTGCTTACGTTTTAATCCCTTTTATATTGCAAAAGAGATTAATCAATAGGCAGCCTAATCCTGTAGATTGCATCCTGTCTCATTAACATAACCGCTTCTAATCCTGTCTCATTAAGGTCATAGAGGTGAAGATTTACAACATATAGGATAATTATATCAGATCACAAAATGGAGGATAATTACGTATTACTGATAATCGTGACCCACCCAAGCTGACACATACTTTGGAGGGACACAACTCAATCCATTAACATTGTATGTATATTTAGTAAGTCCAAATTACCAAAAAGCAGGTTTTTCATTTTGTAAATTCTATTTTCTTATTCAATAGCTATTTCATTATATTAGCGCTTGAGGAAAGGAGATAAAATAATTTAAAAAAATTAATCACTATAGACCTCAATAATTTAGAATTTATGATCACTGAACTATTGGGCTGAAATGTAACTTTTTCCAGCCCATGGACTAGATGTTGCTTATTGTTGTTGTTGTTGTTGTTATGTGCTGTCGAGTTGGACCCAACTCATAGCAACCCCTCCTTGGGTTTCTGAGGCAGTATCACTACGGAAGTAGATTGCCCCATCTTCCTTCCGAGGAGTGGCTAGTGGGTTTGAACCACCAGCCTTCTGGTTAGCAGTCAAGTGCCTTAGTCACTATGCTACCAGAGCTCCTAGATGTTGCCTAGTGAATTAAAATTGTTTACAAAAGTTCAAGGGAAATAATTAAAACTTTTGGAGACCTTGAAGTACTTAAAAGCAATCATTTCCTTATAATGGGTTCATTCATTTTACCATGCTTTTAAAGCATATTTATTGATTAAAAGCCTTTAGTAATTGCATTTTCTTTAAAATAATTCTGAATTAGTGAGGTGTATATTATATTATAGTCAGATTTATGCCTTTTCAGTTTTTTCAGAGATAATTTTTGGCCAGAATTTACTTCTTTGGATTATGTTTGGAATTCTCTTATGCTATACTGTCTCCAATAGCCTTAAGTTTTTAGACTTGGTACATTCTCTAATCACTGTCAGTATTGTATATAATTAGGACGCCATGATAGTGAGAAAGTAGGGTTTTTTTTATGCTTCTTTAATATATATATATATCTTTATTCCATTGGTTTACAGAAATTGATTATAAAATGTTAGTGGGTACATGAATTTGGAATTGGGTGTATTGAATATATATCAGAGTGTATATCTAATTTAATAAATTTTACTTGAAAAATAGTTCCCTTTTGTACCGTGTATATGAAAGAATACAGTGGAAATTGAAAACCAAAGGATATATAGTTATTTTGTTCATAAATCTGTTTTCCAGCATTCATTTACTACATTCATTGTCATCTGTTGGTTCTTTTCTTTATTTCATTATTACTTTCAAAATTCAGCATTTTTATCTAATTTAACATTTTCATATTTTTAAAGGTCCCCAGGTGCATCCAATTTTTCAACTTTACCAAAGATCTCTCCTTCATCTCTATCAAATAATTATAACAACATCAACAACAGAAAGTAAGCACTATATCTTAAAAACTCTTTTTTTAATTGATCACCCTACTGTGGTTGCAAAAAAAACTCTTGTATCTAAAATTTAGGATAAAAGTCTTAATGCATTAAAACTGGGTTTCTTTTCACAAGTCAGTTGTATAAGAAAGAAAACACAGTTATTTATTCTTGATTTAAAATATATACTACAGTAGTTTACTAAAATGACAAATCACTTTCAAAATTTTATAACTCTAAACACAAATTACTGAAGTATATTTAGAAATTTGTTTCAATTCTCTCAAGCTTGTAGGAAGAGTATAAATTTCAGATGTCATTTTAGAATCAGATTTGTTATCACCTGTACAACACATAGTATTTTAAAAAGTGTTCATCAGTGATTCTCGACTGGAAAACACACAAAAGTCTTTGTTTATCAAAAAGACAGTTGCTTCTTATTAAAGATGTTCAGAAAAGCAATTCCTTTGCCCCATCATGAAAAACATACAGAATCGTGGAATTTATAAAAGTTATGTGAAAGTGTATGCTATGTTGTATAAGGAGAACAGTTGTAAATCACTTAGGCTTCACTATAGCTTCTCACCATAGATTTATTGGAAGCCACTGGATGATGTAAATAGCTAACACCTTGGCTACTAACTGAAAGGTTGTGATTTAAGTACACACAGAGATACCTCAGAAGAAAGGCCTGGCACTCTACTTCTGAAAAATCAGCTACTGAAAACCTATGGGAGCATAAATCCATGAGTCAGAATCAGGTCCTTGGCAACAGGTTCTGTTGACGGAAAATTCCCGATTTTTATTTTATTTTAAAAGGTAAAAATATTTTGCTGTTTTAATTGGCCCAGTGATACTATGGGAAGAACTTTGATACAAAGATGTTTATTCTTTCTTAGATAGGTACATTATAGTTTATATATAAGGTTAACAGTATTTATGTAGTTAAATATTCTCACTGCTTGTCTAATTCTGCAATGGCATCTGATTGTCCCAAAGAGTTCAAATATAAAGTTACTTGTGAAATGATCTTTAAATCAACTAGTAATTGAATTTGTAGGCTTAATTAATTACCCCTTAAAATTCGTATTTTTAGAGGCACTTGACAAAATGATTCTAATGAACATGTGAATGTATAAATAGCTGTAGTAATTTTGGAAAGGAAGACTAATGAGAGGAGATTAGTCTTACTAACTATCACAGCCTTTAAGAATTTAAACATCATTGTAATGACCCAAGAATATACCTACAGATCAAAAAAAGTAGGACAGCCCCAAAACAGACCTTTGTATATAAAAGAATTTAATGTAATCTGAAAGCATTCTAGACTAATCGAGATTTAATAGATTGTTCAGTAAATGTTGTTAGAAAAATTAAATTTCTGTTGAGGATTTCTCTTTGGAACTTTAAGATAATTGTCAGACATATAAAATTAAAAGGCAAGTAAATGGGAAAAAAAATTTGCTGCAAATGACAAATAAAAAACAAAAATAAACTCAGTGCCGTCGCTTCAACACAGCGACCCCTCCTTGGATTTCCAGGGCAGTCACAGTGAAAAAATTTCTGAGGCAGCTAGAAAAATGGGCACTCACACAACCATTTGATTTAAAGAGCACGTAATAAAAATAAGGTAATTAAAAGAATAAAAAAACTATCCACTTTCCTGCACCTTAGTCACATTGGGAAAAATTAAATTATGTCTATCCTTGAAAGGATTCTGTTGTTAGTGGTTGTAGTAGTTACCACTGCTTATTTAGAAGAGAGTGGCAGTATGTATCAAGATGGTTTAAAACTTTTGTACTCTTATTTCAGTAATTTATTAAAAATATATATATATTTATGTGTACCACAGTATAATAAACATTACATTGTAATGTAATGTAATCTTTCAGGAAGATACTGAAAGACATTATGAATATCCAAAATTGCCCTGTAATTTGTTTTCTACTAAAAAATATATATCCATAATCAAGAAGAGTAAAAGAAAATATCCCCCTATGATACAATTTTATTTTCTATGATATCTTTCCATTACATTTATCGAAAATAATTTCTTCATAGTAGATAAAATATCACTTGTGTTTCTACCAATTGCAGATGGCTCCCACATTTACTGTATAGGAATTCAGATCCAGGTATAACCTGTATTTATAGTCATTCTTTGGATAAATTTTTAACATTGAATATGGACTATATTTTGACTAAAGTCACCATATTAGTATATGTTGTCTGGTGTGTTTTTGTTTTTGTCTTCTTTCTTTCTCATAGTAAAAATATGCCAATATAATCTCATTTAAAGACCACTTACTGGAAGAAATGCTAAGAATAAAATTGGAGTCTTAAGTTTGGAATATGATTAAATAATTTTACTCCTATGTCCAGAGTATATTTTAGCTATCACATTTGTCTAATTTAGGCACTAAAAACAGGGAATTTTAGTAGCAGATAGCTACTGAGGTACCACCATACCATGATCACCTTGAGTTTAAAAGTGAAATGGATGTATTGATTTTCTATTAAGAGAAACAAAATTTCATGAAATAGAAAATGTTGTTGTAGTTGCTTTTGTTTTTTGTTTTGATTATTTTGCTTTAAAAACTTGAATTACAAATATCGTAAATATCCTAGCAATATTTCACACAGAATTTATGTTTTAGCATTCCATTCAACTTGTACAAATATCTAAGTAGCAGCTTAAGGTCTCATATGGAAATAAGCAATTTCTTTTGAATTAAAAGTATGCAAAATATATTTTAATCTATTATTTAACCCTAACCCTAACCTACATTTTTGAAATTTCACATATATGGAGATAATCTTTATAAAAATAAATTTTATATTAAAATCAGTGGTTATGATACATCAGCTTATGTGAAATTTATTTATACAATTCAGGACTTAAACAATACTACACTGATGGACTGCTATGTATTTTTAACTTTCAGGAATAAAAATGTTTAGGTAGTAACAAACTGTACTTAGGTTTATTCTACTTAACTTTAATAAAGTTTTAATTAAAGACCAATAATTGTTGTTGTTGTTGTTATGTGCCGTCGAGTCGGCCCCGACTCATAGCGACCCCTCCTTGGGTTTCCGAGGCAGTATCACTACGGAAGTAGGATTGCCCAACCTTCCTTCCGAGGAGTGGCTGGTGGGTTTGAACCACCAGCCGTCTGGTTAGCAGGCAAGTGTCTTAGCCACTATGCTAATAAGACCAATAATAGGAAGAATCAGTTGCCAATATTGTTTGCTTTCCCTGTGTAGTAATGTTATTTAACTCTTGGTTCATACAGTGTTTGTTCTGTTATATTGCATACTTCAATTAAAATTTAAGCATATGTTTAATACGTGCAAATTTTTTTTCTTTGGTAATAATTCTGTTAACCTGCATTTTCTACTCTGCTACATTTGCTTTTCTATATTACTAACACTACCTTCAAAAAAAATCTTCTCAATGTATTTTTTGTGACAGTTCTTTAACATTCCCCATCAGAGCACATTTCTACTTTCCTGTTAATTAAATATCTTTAATTTGAAATCTAAATGACTTCTGTGTAAGATTTAGCCATGTAAAGAACTAGATTTTGGTTACCACCAGAGCTATGTAACTTACCTAACTATCTGGCTCTTGACAAATTACTTAACTTGCAAGCATCTCTTCATTAACTGTCAAGTAAGCTTAATTTGTAGTTGTGAGTATTAAAATATGTGTGTGTGTGTGTGTGTGTGTGTGTGTGTGTGTGTATATATATAGTCAAATGTTGGTAATAGTTTAAAAAGTCAGTCTTTAATAAAGGTAGGATACTTAATTTTCAGAGAAAGATAGGGTTCAGTTTTACCCAAAAAATGTAGTTTTTAATGTATCTTTTTATTAACAATGATAGATTTATAAAACAGAATTAATCCAGCTTAGTATTAAAATTCCCATTCAGTTTTACTGATAAATTCATTTAATTTTTGCTCAGCTACTAATCATAATTTGAACTCACCAGCTGCTCTGAGAGAGAAAGATTTTGCAGTTCTGCTCTGTCCTGTAGGGTTGCTGTAAGTCAGTACCAATGGTAATGGGTTTGTTTTTTGTTTGTGTGTTTTTTGGTTTAGCACAACCTTATAGGAAGCCAACTAGCTTAAAATCTCTAAGAAGGAAAAAACTATCAGATATACTCAAGCAAGATAATAGTGGCTATCTTTAGGGCCTAGATTTACATGTACTTTGTTGAAGTGTTTAAACACTGCTGGCTTTAGATTTTCCATGATAAACTTTAATATTTGATTTAGAGTGCACATTATTATGTGAATTATCAAGACTACTAAAATGACCAATATGCACTTAAATATTTAAGTGCATTAATTTGCATTATCATCATTGAACATCTCAATCTTTGAGTTGGTTTATACTTTATCAATTAAAATTAAAATGTAGATTTAGATTAAAAAATAAACAAACAATGTTTTTGCAATTAAGTTTTTGTTCATTTCTCAATAAATAGGAACCCTTATACCAGCAAATTCCATCATGTTGCCATAAAGAAGAATAGAGCTTCCAGCATCTGTTGTTACATTTGGGGAAAGACAGTTATCTGAATATATGCTTATGGAATGAGCATGTAAATGTGCTTTGATAAGTGTTTTCACTTGTGTTGTGTGTGTTTAGACATGAGCATGCATTGGGTGTACTTTTCCTGTGTACTCTTGGCTGCTTAAATTTTACTATGACTTTGTTCTCAGAATTTTTCTGACAGAAAAATTTTCTGTCAGAATTTTTTCTTCTCTTCATTGTGTAGGAAGTCTGGGTCTTGGATTTTTGTAATACATAGCAGACCTTGATTTTTTGAACTTCTTGTGCTAAGCAAAATAGGACTTTTTTTTTACTTCACCTTTTTGCTACATACCCCTACAGTTAGATTCAATAAATTAGTCATTCAATAAACATATATTGAATTGCTAACAGGTGCCTTGCATTTTGTTAGATGCTAGGAATATGAATCTAGTGATCTGCTAAAAAACAAAAGATGCTTGAATTCTCTTTTGTTTGTTTTATACTTGTGTGTGTGTGTGTATAAGTTAAAACATCTGTGCAGCAACTAGTCTAACAGTTCTGAATCTGAATTGATTAAGGTTGCATTTCTTTAGGCCTTGCTTTTTTTTGTTTAATTTAAAAGTGAATTGTTATTTCAATCTGGGAATTGTCTTTTTGTTTGCAGTGCAGTTGTTGTTTTTTTAAAAAATATTAGTGGGCTAGCTTCGTGTGTTTAATTTTAGGTTGATGGGGTTTTGTGTGTTTTCCCTGCTTGGTTTGTTTTGTGTGTGTATGTGTGTATACATGCATACATACGTATATGTATATATGTTTCATATATATATATATATATATATATATATATACACATATCCTTTTGTGTATGTGTTTACTAAATACTTTGTTAGAACAGGCAGTAGTGGAGTTTACTTAAAATGTTATAGTTATAAAGTGATAGTACAGAAGGTGTGACTGAAAGTATTTAAAATTAGAAGTAGTAACTCTTTTTAAAATGTAATACCAAGAATAAACTATAGCAAGTTAAGATCATTAAAGTTACTGATTGATTATGTTTATGTGTAGTACTTTATTAGTTTATTTGTATCATCATTTGCTTTTAGCTTTTAGCAAATGACCTTGATTCAGGTTTTTCTAGTGAAAAAAAATGAAAATCGGCATTTGAGTTATATCCAAAGTATCCATTGTAAATATTTCATAAGATAACCTATAAAAAAATTAAGGGATAATCCACTCTTTTCCCAAAATTTTTTCCTTATGTGTAAAAGGAAGAATAATTTGTTATTGATTGACTTTTCTTGATTATGTCTAAAATTACCCTAATTTTCTTAGCTTTAAAAGATTAACACATATAGTTTTGTCTAAGATTAACATTTATTATACTTATAGTACAAATTATCCTGAAGTTGTACTTATCTAGTTAAATAACTGCCTTATTGTTCTAGAAAACTAAATAATACAAGGATGTACTTGCTGCGAACCATTTTTGCATTTCTGAGCATCCCAGGCTTTTTTCTGCATTTAACTACTAGATTTTTGCTGGTCTAGCATAAAAACTATAAATAGAATCTTCAATGCATCAGAGTAATGATGTCACAGTGGCCTTGGAAATCTCTGCTCTCACCTGTAACTAAAGCACAACTCTTCAGTTTCTACTGTTCTCACTCTATTACAGTAGCAGTATGCAGAAGTGACATAAATGAGATGATTTATTGTTGTGGGTGGTGTTTAAAATCTGAATGTATTAAATTTGATGGAGCAATGAAGAATAGAGTGAGCTGTGAGACTGCTGCAGTTAATCAAGGGTAGAAAGATATAATAGTGGTTTGTATTGGTTGGTGTGGTTACATGATATGGTGATTTTTGTTGATTGGATGAAACGTATTTTAGTTAAGGAGGTTAATATTGTTGAAACTGAAGTCTTAAAAATATACATGGGTTGAGGGCTCTTTTTAAAAAAATTAATGATTGAAAACCTATCTCATAAATAGTTTAAAATATCTCTGTTCATTATATTGTAATTCTATTTTAAGTTTTGACTGCATTATAATAAAAAAGTACTTCTGTTTTCTTCCAGTGTGAAAAACTCAAATTACTGTCTCCCATCATATACTGCTTATAAGAACTATGATTATTCAGAACCTGGAAGAAACAATGAACAACCTGGCCTCTGTGGCCTAAGTAACTTGGGAAATACGTGTTTCATGAACTCAGCTATTCAGGTAGGTGTTTCCAAACAAGTGAAACTCATGTGTTTCATAGAAATCAGTAATACAAGAAGAATAAAGTTGAGTTTTCCAGAGTATTTTAGAACAGAATATTTTATGTGTTTTGATAGTTTGCATTTTCATACATGTTTGATTGATTGATTCTGATGCTGGTATTAGAATACCATTATCATGTTTCTCAATTAGGTGGTATGATTAATTACCATATATTAGAAGATTAAATACTACTTTATGCAAAAATCTTAATTCCAAACAGAAAATTTAGGCTAAGGAAAAGTTAAAAATAAAAAAGCTAGTGAGATCTCTATATATTCAGTAGTAAAAGTCTGTTGATTTTTTTGGACATTGATGAGGATGTTCAAAAATGTTTTATGTCACCCATCTCTAAATCTAAATAAAATTACTTTTAAACCCTTTTTTTTTTTTAATCTTAATAGGAAAATTTTGTGACCTTCATTTGTGTGTGTATGTATGTGTATGTGTGTGTGTGTAGGGTGTGTGTGTGTGTGTGTGTGTGTGTGTGTATATATAGCTTAACAAATCAGGTTTTTCCCTTAAAGATTTTTTAATTTGGGATGTAAGAAATCACTGTCTTCTCTTTTTCTCCATCATGCTTTCTTTTTCTTCCTAGTTTTTCTCTGGTCTATAACCACTTCCAACCTAATGTATTAAACATTTATGTCTTTGGTTGATTCTGAAGTTATGAGAGATGTTTTCAATATTATTGTCACTATGTGTAAAATTAGGACTAGTTTATTTCAATCCTCTTTTACAAACAAAAATCCTATGTTTAGAAAGCCTAAAATAAGGTTGTACTATTTTTAATAATTGAATTTTAAGATTTTTTTTAACTTATTTGTGAATTCTGAATTTTTAGTCTTAAACCTGAAATATTTCATCCTCTATTGATGTTTTAACATCAGATCTCCTATGTCCAGAAGGCTACCTTCAAAAATAGAGTAACTGTAAAAAATTTTATCAGTACAGATTAATAAGGACATTTTTACAAGTCTTTTGACTCTCTGAGAAAAATACAAGACTCTTTACCATCCAAAATTCTACGTGAAGTCTTTTGACATTGTCATTAATCCATTTGTATCCTAAATGTGGCATTCAAAAAAATTCGAATTTAACTATCCAGGAGTTGGTAACCTTTCAGAAATGGGAAGGTTGGGGCATAATTGGTTAATTTATGATTTCTTGGTTTAGAGTTGACCTACTCAGGAACGTTTATCTGCTCAAGCTCAATGTTCTTTGGATAAGTAATAACTTATTCAAGTTTATTTTTCTAGAATCATAGCACTGGTAAAATAAAAGCTATTCTAAATTTTTATCTTTATTTTTCTAGAAAGTTAAAAAGGGAACTTAGAGGAGCAAGCCAAAATGTATGAACCTGATAGCTCTTTAGATTACAAAGTAAGGTACCAAGGCACTGAGCTTTCAGAGATAGGGACAGGGGCAGACAAATTGTAATTTTGTTTAGGTATCTTTTGGATTGCCCTGCCTGCTTGCTGAAAATCATCTTTAGTACCATCTCTAAAAAATGGTGTATATAAATGGTGGTTATATCAGTACCAGAAAACCCTATTCTCAGATCACCAAGTCATAATAATTCATATGTAACTCCTTCCCACTGCCAAAATTGCGTACTTTGGTTCCAGAGGCTTCATATAGCTTGAGGTTTGTTTCTTTGTTTGTTTACTATTCTAATGTGGAAAGCGTATCTTGTGGTTTTCCATAAAAACTAAGATAATAGTTTTAACAACATGATCCTGCTCCTGCTCACTGCCGTGGAGTTGATCCCGACTCATAGCGACTCTTCCTTAGGTTTCTGGGGTGGTATCACTACAGAAGTAGATTGCCCGACCTTGCTTCTGAGGAGTGAATGGTGGGTTTGAACCTCCAGCCTTCTGGTTGGTGGTCAAATGCGTTAGGCACTATGCCACCAGAGCATAGCCATTATAAATGTATCTTTCATAAGAGAACAAAATTAGTGTTCATACTAATCATTCATGGGAGATGCTAGCTGGCATGCAGACTACATTCCTTCTAAGGCAATATTACATTCTAGTTTTCTGTGCTTTCGATACAGTCCACTTAGAGTTTTGTCTCCATATTTTTGGTTAGTTACAGTTTCTCAAAAATGGGAGTATTAAAATTATATCTTCTAGTCGGCTGTGTTAAGCTAGATTTGGTGTTTTGCCTTCCTTTCTTACATGCTCTGTTTCAAGTATGAGAAACCTCATTGTACTCATTTTTGCTTTTGCACAAAACTATTTTATTACACTAAATCAGTAGATTTAATGCTGATACCCTCTCTTTCATGTATTTCACCTTCACATGTTCTGTTTCAACTGAAACAGTCCTGAGGGTGATGGTTTATTATTTTATGGTAAGAATTATAAAGTAGGGAAAAAAAATCAATGAAAATTTCAGCAATGAGTATTTTAAACAGTAGATATTATTACATGCTTTTGTCTTAGTTAGAAACTATATTTTATCTAAAATAAAATTTTTATACAAACTAGCCAAGGGAAAACTGAATTTTTATTTTGCAGCTCCTGGCATTTTCAGTTTTAATATAAATCCAGAATTAGAAAAGCTAAAATTTTAGTTTATATTGTTAAAGCTTTTATGATTTTTTAATGGAGCTAGATCCAGCTGAAAATTCACTAAGGGAGGGAATAAATACATAATGGTGCAGTAGCCTTTCCTCCTTTGTTTCACAAACATTACTGTTAATGCACAGGTCCACAAATGTAAAGGCAATAGATAAATAATATCTTGTGTTGTTCTTGTTGTTTGCCATCGAGTCGGCCCCGACTCATAGCGACCCCTCCTTGGGTTTCCGAGGCAGTATCACTACGGAAGTAGGATTGCCCAACCTTCCTTCCGAGGAGTGGCTGGTGGGTTTGAACCGCCAGCCTTCTGGTTAGCAGTCAAGTGCCTTAGGCACTATGCTACCAGAGCTCCAGATAAATAATATAGTAGGTCTTTTTAAAAGTCTAATCTTTTTCAGATACTGTTTCTTCAAGTTATACTTCTTTCAACTTTCCTTATCACTTCTGTAACAATTCATGAACTTCAGAGAATATTATAAAATAGCATTTCTACTGAAAATTGCTTTTCAATTTTAATGTAATCTCCTGTATTAATTGACTAACCTAAAGAATGTAAGTGAGCATTTTAGTATATCAGACAGTGTAATTATTGATATATCTAATAAAATAAATGTACATGGGAAAAGCAATATCTTTTTTCCTGTGTGAGCATGGGTTATACTACCTCATTGGTAGCCTTGAGATATGATTGCTCAAAATTTCAAACTAAGCACAAATCTGAGTATGGTTTAATATTATTATTTCTATTATTTAATTATATTAATAAGATTTTTCTCTGATGACATGGTATGAGATAAATTTTTCTAATGAATAACTGTCCTATTGTTTAAATTTTTTAATTAATATTTATTCAGTACCAAATATGTATCAGATACTTTTGGACATAGATGCTGACCTTATGATGATTATAGTCTAGATAATGGGATTTTCAAACATTTTACTTTCCAGCATCAGAATTTTTTTTTATTATTACTAGAAAGTTTAATTGTAAAGCCAGTATTTAAACAAATGTAGTGACGTTTGCTGTGGTTGGGTAGAATGCCAAGAACCCCATCTTTACTTCCTTCAGTAGTCCCAGAATCAATCTCATAGGTTGCCAGGAATCTGAAGAATAGTTTGAAAAACAAAGCCTGGTTGAAAAAAAAAAAAAGAAGAAGAAGAAAAGAAAATCACTAATTAAAAGCTATTGGTTAACCTCAGCCTATATGATCATGAGACCAGAATGGTGATCGTGAGACTAAATGGTGTTCGGCTACCACTGTCAACCACTTGGAAAGAGATCAAAATAGGAGATCTATTTAGATAGATAAAGTGGGTAGAGTGGGAGAAAAACATGGGAAAAGGAACTTAAAATCATAAAAAAGATCAGGCTTACTGGTCTGAGAGAGACTAGTAAAACCCCTGAAACTGTGGCCTATAGTCATCCTTCTGTAAGGATGACTTCAGGACTAGAATAGAACTCACTCCTGTGGCTTCCAGCCAAACAATAGACAGACATATAAGGTGAACATTTACACCAAGTAGATATATTCCTTATAACAGTCAATCATGGGAGAACAGTATTTTCCCAGGGAGTTAGCTCAGGGGATAGGAATGCATAGGTTAGAAGGACATGGGGGAAGAGGTAACCACAGGAAAGAAGTGGAGAGAAAGCTGTTACATTATAGGGATTTCAGTCAATATCATGAAACAAAATGTGCATGAACTGCTGTATGGAAAATTAATTTATGCTGTAAACTTTAACCCAAATCACAATTGAAGGGAAAAAAAAAGAACGTTTAAAAATATACTATAGGTTAAGAGTACTCAGTTTGTGGTTACATTACTTGGATTGAAAACATGAGTTACATGTGTTATGCTATACAAGTTACTAGTAAAATTATAATACCCATTACTTTTTTTGTGGGAATTAAGTAAGTTAATGAATATGAAGCTCATAAGATAGTGACTTCTATATTATAACTACTGAATACTGATATTTTATCTTTTCTTGAATTCAAGGAGTTAAGCAGAGTGACTGGAAAAATTCTAGCTTCCATATTTTTGGTGGTGGTATGTGCCGTCGAGGCAACTCTGACTCATAGCGAATCTATGTACAACAGAACAATACACTGCCATTCATAAGGTTTTCACTGGTCAATTCTTTAAGAAGTGGAGGCCCCTTCCTTCTTCTGAGTCTGGAAGCTCCACTGAAACCTGTCCACTACAGTGACCCAGTGACATAGCCTCTGGTTTTACAGCAACACGCAACCACCACAGGACAACAAACTGAGAGATAAGTGGTGGCTAGCTTCCATAGGCCCTCCATTTGTTCTCCTTTCCTATAAGTGTTCCACTTTGGCTAGAGCTAATGGATGAAGAGTTAAATATGCC